TATCACATTGAAAGTGGCACTGCAGACACAAGGGCCCAGTCTTGGGGGGCAGAGTGGGCCCTGAAGGTCCGGCAGTGGATGCTTGGAGACACACACTGGATTGTTCTTTAAGTTAAACCTTATCACACAGTGAACACACCTCTGTGTGGTGCATTCAGTGTGCCTGGGAGGCTCTTTGCCCTCAGCCCTCAGCCCCCTGCTCCTTCAGCCCTTGCTCAGACGTGACTGTCTTTCCAAAATTGATATATTCTTCCAGATGAGAGTCTGTGTATTTGTGTTCACGTTTGACTTGGTAGAAATTTTATTTTTATTTTATTTTTTGTATCTTTTACATATATTTTAATATATTTTTATTAAAATTTATTTTTGATGTATGCCTTTCACTTAAAGATTTGAGGACCTTGCTTTTTCAGAACTCTATTTTAACATGATCTCCAGACGATGGAAAACTTACAAGAACCGTGTGAGAAATACCTGTGTACTCTTTTTTTTAAAATAACAGTTTATTTTTACATCATTTTGTACATTTTTTTTCCATCTCAGTGTAATCCCCGAGGGTTTCCTGTCACCAAGTCACCCGTGTGCCATCACCATAATCCTGCACTTCCCTCCCCACCCCCACCCCCGTTTTTGATCCCATTCCCCACTCCACCCCTGCAAAACACCTGTGTACTCTTTATGTGATGTACCAGTAATTTATTTGGGCTGCCTTTGGTTTACCATTCCAGTAAATATTTTTGTGGATGGGTCTCTGTATTTTTGAACCACTGGAGAGTAAGTTGGAGGCATAGCTCCCTTTTACCCCTAAATGCTGCAGTGTCTGTTGGCCCCCAGATTGACATTCTCACACGCATGCTCAGTACTCTGACCTAGCTCAGGAGAGAACATTCAATGCTGCTGTCTGATCTACAGCACAGATCTCCAGATTCGTCAACAGAACCACTGACATCCTCAGACCTTTCTCTTAAACAAAGAGACATTGTCTTCATTTTGCTTTTCTCTGTGACACGTTCATGCATGAACACACTGTGCACATGCCACGGGTGATTTGCCCCTCCCCCTGCAGGTGGGTCGAGGTAAGTAAAACAGTGGGAGGAGAATGGTAGACTGTTGCCCACTTTTTGACATTCCAAACACAATTTAACATGAGTGGGGGTTGCTTTGAATAACTTTCAGGACACATGGTGAAGACAAATAAATGAGGTCATGTGATGCTGAAGAGAGAACCTTCGAGAGAAGTTAACAAAGAGGAGTTCCTGGTTCATAGACGGAGATAAACAGCAGTTTTTAAAAATTCAGCCTTTTTCAATAATTGCATTTCAGAGAGAAAAAAATAGAAACGTTCTTGGCGAAGAACGAGTCAGGAAAATAGCTAATAGTCATGATATATTTTTATGGATTCAACACTGTCTTAGGTTACTTTCATCAGAAGACAGAGGCCTGGTTTGCTCTCAGGATGCTTTGTTGGAAACACCAGTTCCTCCTCCATCCCCCACCCCCAGCTTCATGTCCAAGGCCAGTGATGCTCTCTGAATCTCAGGACACTTTCCTCCTGTACATTTAGCAAACTTCCACCAGTGGGGAAGGCTGCTATTTCTGCTTTGTGTGAAGTGTTTTTGTGCCATCTGGGCTGGCTGGATGACAGCAAAGATAGTAAAGAAACATTTATCAAGAAAATCAAAGTCAGTCTTGCCAAGTGTGGTCTAGAGAGATGTGCTTCCCCGGTACATCTGCGGCTCTCTTGCTGCGGGGAACCAGCTCTGCTTTGAAAAGAATCAGGAGGACCAACCTTAGCTGACAGCGACTGTCACCTGCTCGTGACCTGGTGGTTCCAGTCACCAAAGCTCTTGGAGATGGGGTACCGACAAGTGCCAAAATCAATTCTACTCCATTCCTGTTCAACAGAACTTTCGACCCATTGAGTGGAAGCAGAGGGCAGAAGTGAAAGGTTCGAAGTGGATCAGAGAGTCTCTAAGGGCAGAGGGAGCGATGCTTCTTAGTATGTCTGGACCAGGAGAAGTGGGTGCCATGGAGACATCATTTTTAAGCCTCCAGCTGTGAGACTGGCTCAAGAGTACAAGACACAGCTACAAGACCAGTTAGTGGTTACTCAAGGGGAAAGGGAAAATCAGTAAATCAGGTGAAAGGGGTCATCAGACCTAAACATTTAATGGAGCATGTACACATGTTGACTTTTAATGATGTACACATGCCTCTTATAATGTCACTTCAATAAAAAAAATAAATTGAAAAAGAATACAATATCCTCTTGTCCTGTAAAGAACACTCCAAAAGAGCTGAAAAGTGTCAACAAACTGTAGAGGAATCCTCTCCCAGGCGATTGGCCTGTGGTGTCAGCTCACAAGATAGGGAGGGGAAGAGTGGCCCCAGCAGAGAAGAAAGAGAGGTTGCTTTTGTGTGCCTGTCAGACCAGACAAGTTTCTGGCACTTCAGAGTGTCTCCAATTGTGTTTTTGTGCAGCTCACTCTGTGATAGATGTGTCATTCCAAGAACCCAGCCTGGAAATTGGCATGTGCTAGATTAAAGCAATAAGAGAAATGAACAGTTGGAGATTGTATTCTTGGAGGAAGGTGTTTGGGAATCTTTAAAAATGGTATCTAGAAAAGCTTTACTATGTGTGTGCTCTGTGGACCGGCAGCCTCAGCATCACCTGGAACTTTAGAGAAGCACCCAGCAGGTCTTGCACCAGACTTATTAAATCAGAATCTCTCTGGGGTATGGGCACTCTGTGTTTCAGAGCTGAGTAACTCTTACACATGCTAACGTTTGAGAATCATGCTTCTCTGCAAGGGTTCACATATAAGTGGTTCTGTTTAATATCAGTCCATTTGGATAAGGGATCAAGAAAAAATGTAATTATAATAAATATAAAAATCAACAGGCAACTATAAATCAGAGACATTCTGCAGGGAAGAAGGAGGGGGAAGGATAGAAACAGGGCTGGGAAGAACACAAGGGACTATAGTGATGGTACGTGGGTGGTGGGAATTTCACAAGGACTACCTGAGAGGAGAAAGCATACATTGCACAAAAATGAAGAAAAGATGTAAGTGGAAAGAAAGAGAAGCAAGGTAATTAAAGGTGTTCTCAGTGGAGGGTGAATGAAATAAAGACAAAGGAATGGGGAGGAGAGAATACACTGGTCTCAAGAGATTGGTCATAAAAGACTTGCATACAGTGTTTTGCTACAGTTAGTGGGCTGGAAATAGGATATGTTGTAAGGTAGAGGGCTAAGTGAGACTGAGATTGAGAAAGCTGTACAATTCCTGGCATGATATGTTCCAGGGAGAAGGTGATCATGATGCGAAAGAAGCTAAGTTTGCAGGAAGTAGGGTGAGGGTTCACCGCTTTATCTCCTACTTTCCAATAGTCTTTCTTCTGTTTGTTTTTCTCATCATCTGGAACTGATAGAACCTTATTTTACTGAGACATTTAAAAATGTTGAATAATGGTTATAGTAATATCTTTTTTCTAATTTCTGACTTTAATGGGATTGCATTTGTCATTCACTGTTGTGCAGTTATTCCATACAGCCTGAATCCTGCAAGGGACATTCTCTGCTATTTGTAGTTTATTACAATGTTCCTATGATTTTCTCCTTTGACCTATAAAAATAATATTCTAAGAATAGATAACCTAAGGTTGAGCCATCTTTGCATTCCTGGTAGGGTTCATTATATATAAGCCTTCTTCTAGATGATAGTTTGAATCAATCTATTTTTAGTTTGGATATTTTTGAATAATAACTGGGATGATTGGCACTGTATCCTTAAGAGCTACACAACTCCCATTTTCTTATGGCTACCTACATTATAGTTTTGTGAATTTTGTTAGTCCTAATTAATGTTTTCCTGTTTCTCCACGTTGATATCTTATTCTACCTCATCCTTCTTATGGTAAATTATAATCTATACTGCTGATCCTCTTCTCCTCTTCTTCTCTAAGCTGGTTCCACAGCCTCCTTTACTCAGGGTATTCTTGATTGAGGGTGGAATAATAATACATGCCAGGCAGCTCTCCTACCCACCTGTGACTATGCAGGTGCCTCTCTTTTCCTTTCTCTTTCTTCCTCATAAGCCTGTCCTTTTAAAGTATTTTTTAAAAAAATTACATGCCAGTGTTTTTCCAGTCTTCTTTCTATGGGCTCTGTATGGGTTCTGGTCATGAGGATTGCATGAATAATAGGTACACCTTGGTCTAGAGGGAAACTCTTTTAGCTTTATCTTTTTGAATTGAGATAAAATCAAGCCTCAATCATTTTAAAGTGGACAATTCAGTGGCTTTTAGTCCCTCACAGTGTTAGGCAACCATTATCTCTATCTAGTTCCAAGAAATTATCAACACTTATAAAGGAAACCCTAGCGCTATTAAGTAGTTGTTCTCCAATCCTTCTTCCCCTAGTCCTTAGAAATCACTGGTCTATTTTGTAGCTCTATGGATTGACCTATTCTAGATCTTTCATTTAAAGGGAATCACAGTATGTGTGGTCTTTTGTGTCAGGGTACACAAATGTTCATAGCTTTTCACAATAATCAAGGCATGGAAATAACCCTTATGTTGATCTACCGATGAATGGCCAAACAAAATCTGACATATCCGTATGATGGAATATTGGTCAGCCATAAATGAAGTATTTATGCATGTTATAGTGTGGGTGAGACTTGAAGACATTATGCAAATGGAAGAAGTCAATCTTGCTTATAAGCTTTGGGGAAGACAAGCTCAGAGAACTTATAGTTCATCTTGGAGGCAAAGTTGGGGAAGCAGGATGAAAGCCAGAAATCAATTTTAAACCAATATAGGCAGAATCTCATCCATTTATGTGGCGTTGAGTGCTTCTCAGTTATTGGTGTTAATAAATTGAAATTCCCATTAAGTAAGTACGAGGCCAACGACGTTTCACGGGCTCTGAGCACCCCCGGTTGACACTTAGACATCGGGGGGGCTCTTGATGCTGGAATTGCTTTTTCTTTTTTCAGTAAGAGATGCGAAAAACCTTGTACCTATGGATCCCAATGGCTTGTCAGATCCCTATGTGAAACTGAAATTGATTCCTGACCCCAAAAGTGAGAGCAAGCAGAAAACCAAAACCATCAAGTGCTCCCTCAATCCCGAGTGGAACGAGACATTTCGATTGTAAGTTAAAATTAACCCTGCCGCCGTGGGTGGGGTGGGCTTGGCTTGTGGGTCACCAGAGATTGGGGATTTCCTCTTCCACTCTCTATTTCTCTCCCTCCCTCTCCCCTCCCTTCCCCTCCTTCCCTCTCTACCCTCTTGTTCTTCTCTCCTCCTTTCTCCCCCTCCGTCTGCTTTTTTTTTTTTTTTTTTTTTTTGCATTATAAGCCAAGTAAAAATTAGAGCCTATTTTTTTTAAAGAGACTTGAGAATGTCTGTGGTGGGGGAGTGAGTGGGATAGAATATTGTGTGATGTGTTGCTAGGTGAAAAGAAGTGGCAGGAAAAGCTCTGGGCTTCAGCAAACAATGGGACATAACCTGTTGGGTGTGGTGATAACCACCTTAAGGTGAGATTATGGATCTTGTTGGGTGTGAAAACTCCCTGCCAGCTTCCATGAAGGTCTTCTCTGGCTAGGCCTCTACGTGTCCCTTTTTTTTTTTAATGCATCTGTGTTAGCAAGTATTTGTTATATCAGCCAATATTTATTGAGCATTTATTATGCACACAAGCACTGTCTATAGTGAGCTGACTTTGTTGATCATTTCATCTTCATTTGACCAATTGGGTTTATGGAAGCTAAAGGATATGCCCCAAACCCCACAGCAAATACAGGATGGTGTGGGCCTCAGCTTCAAACACACTAACTCCAGAGGCCACAGGCCAAAAGCGTGATTTGCATGTCTTAGGGCAAAGCTGGGGCCCATCTCAGTCTCAGTGAAGGACATGCCTGACCTATTGGTCATTCCCCCCAACTCTCATCAACAAGACTCTTCCTCCATACACATCCTTAGCCTTATCCTCAGCCCACATGCAAGTACATGTAGTCATGTAATGGACACCATACTTATGACAGTGATGATGCCCACAGAATTTCTTGAACACCATGGGCCCTGTTGAGCTGTACAGCAGCAGTGGAGGTTAGAGCTGCTGTGTGGGAGTTGACCTCAGTCCTCCCCTTCAAGTCACAATGTCACACAGGAAAGCTGTGGCTCCCTGGGGAGCTCCCATTTCCTGGGATGGAAATGGAATATGTGTCTTGGAACAGCTTGTAATCCTTACAAATTCTTACCTTCAGGCACTGTCCTCTTGTACATTTCATCTGCTTGAGAAATCTTCGTATCCTCCACTGACGTTCCTTTTACTTTTACAGCCAACTAAAGGAATCTGACAAAGACAGAAGACTGTCTGTAGAGATTTGGGACTGGGATCTCACCAGCAGGAATGACTTCATGGGATCTTTGTCATTTGGGATTTCTGAACTGCAGAAAGCTGGTGTGGATGGCTGGTAAGGAATATTTTGCTTTGAAAGCTTGATCCATTAAACACGGGATGAAATGTTTCCTTTTCTCCTAAAAATGAAATATTAATAGTCACTAGACAATGACCAGTAGATTGGCTCTACCGCACAGATAGACTATATTTAGGCTTTGTGCTAAAATAAAATATCAGTTGCCAATATTTTAAAAATCAGGACGTTTTCATAAAAATCTGGACTTTTGGTCAAAAAGCCCGAACTATCTGGATACATAGGGCCTTGTGGGCACCAATTGAGAACAGCTGAAAAGTGAACATCCTCTTTCGCTGGTATATATGTTTTCTGGTCGCCATATTTCTCACTTCTCCCTATTGTCTTACATGTACCCCACTTCACACAATGACTGGCCTGACTTGCCCCACAGGCACTAACATGGCTCCCACAGTCACTCAAAGGACATGGGCAACCACTGTTAGATTTAGACCCCTTAAGAAGATGCTCCTTCTTTGGGATGCTTGCCAAGCCTGACCACAGAGGTGCTGGGAGGTCACTGTTGTGGTCAGCTGATGTGTCTCCTTTGGAGTTTTTGCTCTGCTCCCATTTCCCTCTCAGGGCAAAAATAGCCTTGCTTGGTATTACCAACAAAGAGGCTGAGTAAGCAGCCCTGGGCACTTTGCTCCACAGTTGTCTAAGTGGCAGAGTTGGGCCCAAGAGAGCAGTGTGGCACTTCATGGTGGGAGAAGTGGGGATCAGCACCTGTTTTGTTCCTTTAAGAAAAATTGTCTCCTTTCTGAATGACCTGATTCAGGGGGCTTTTTCAGCGTCAAGTGGAAGACAGCCAACATCTAACTGGGTTAGCAAAAAATGGGGAGATATCATTGCACCCCACTGTTCCCTTAGCTCATCTTGGCCTCTCCTGCAGATTCTTCATAGGTGTCTATCCAGAGAGCCGTGGAAAGCCACGTCCAGTTACTAGAGACCCATCACGCAGAACACCGACATGCCCTTCCCAGAGCAGAGCTTAGGTGGGGAGGGTAAACCTTGAGGAAGAAGTTACTCAACCGGACGGTGACAACATGACAAGGGGTGTGCAGGAGGGCAGAGAGGAGGGGTGCCAAAAGCCAGAGAGGTGTGTTAGGGCACCGTAGTTAGAACCAAAGCCAGGGAGGTGAATGGCTGCTGTGGGAGGCGGAGCCACTTCTCAGCAGACAAGCAGTGTGGAGATAACCGTGCGAAGCTCCAGGTAAAACTGGCTACTGAACAGGGCAATGAGATCGTGACTTTGCAGCTTCCCCACCTGAAGAACAACTCACTTCTGCTTTCTAAACGTTAACTTTGCAGAGTTGGAGCAACATCTCTGGTGGCCAGTGACTAATAAGTAACGGAGGCACGAGGCAGGGAATGGCTAGTTAGAAAATGCCTGGCATGATGTGGGCACGCCGCACCTGCTTCTCCTCGCCTCGTCCCTGAGTTTGGACGCTTTTCCTTGGCCGTGCGGACCTGACTCTGCACACTCGCAGCCTTAGCTCCTCGCAGATTTTATGCTCCTTCCTCTTTAAGTCAAGAGGTTAAAGAGAAAGCATGCAGGATCCCCACGGGAGATAAGTGAGACAGGAGAGAACATAATAATAATAATTATATGAACAATAGCTACCACTTACGGACTCTCACAGATGCCAGGGCCTGGGCTGATGGTGTCCCAGGTGTCCGGGAGTCACGCGGTGATGCCGCTGCAGTCACACGTGCAGAGAAAGTACAGCTCCTTTAGTTACTGCGATGGACCTAGGCTTTCTCCTATAGCGTAGAGAGCTGGTGGCTGAGGAGAAGGGATGTCATCTGGCCCAGCTCGGCCCCTAGCGCAGGGTCCCTGTGGCAAGACCGTCCCCGCCGTCGGTGGGCATCACTCCTGCTGCCGGCTGGAGTCCAGTCCTGGCCTGTTGCCCCGGGATTGAGGTCCCTCTGCACAGTAGCCTCTTTGTCCCATTTCCAGCTGCCGCCAGGATGTCCCCCCAACCCGAGGCCATCCCCCCTTGCGCTCCAGGGCCGCACATTTCTGAGTGCTCCGCGGAGAGCCAGGCGTGCCACCCCAGAGCCGCCATTGGCACTGCCCACTGCTACCAGGACTCGCTCTCCATGCAGCCCCTGCCCAGGGTTCCAGCGGGAGGCAGCACAGCCTCTCCGCTCGCCCGGTCTTCTCCTTTCCTCCCTCCTGTGGTTCTCCAGGCTCCAGAGGGCAGGGCAGTCCTCACAGGTGTCCGCCCTTCTTCCTGGGCTGGCACCTGCATTGCCCACTTCCCCGAGCAGGCAGCAGAGTGCAGAGAGCACAAAGTGGATCCTGGTACTGGCCGGCCCATAAGGAGTAAGTCCAGCGTGTTACTGCACGTCCACTTCCGCCATCCCCCACTCCTCCCAGCAGACCGGGGGCGCCACTGTCCCCAGGATCAGAGTAGCTGAGCAGAGTGAGGGGCATGCAGCCCAGGCCCCTAAGTGACAGAGCTGGCGATCTGGTACAGCCTGGGATGCCAGTGCCTAAGCTCTGTCTCACGCCTAAGCACTGTCTCACACCCTGTGGACATGGGCTTGGCGGAGGCCTGCAGGGAAGTGGGTTTTGACCTTGGTTTTGTGGCCTCGGGGGAATCATTTCACCCCTCTGTACCGCAGCTGCAGCCTCCGTTCATCAGGCCTGTTACAGAAGCCCTGCTCGGGACACTCGTGGCGTTGGTGAAGTCACAGTGAGGGAACGTTCGCAAATGCAGTGCTCTCTAGAGTTTACAGACAAGTCTTCTTCAGACTTAGGGCCGAGGCATCCACAATGCTGTCTGAAAGCTACGTCTACCAAACTCCAGAAATGTGGATTCCTGTCCCGGGAATTCTTTTATCCCCGGATGATCTTGGGCCAGGCACACCGCCTTGCTGAGACTCAGTTTCCCCACCTGGAAGGGGGTGAGCTCCTCCGGGCTGCTGTTGTGTGTCAGAGCACGTGGCAGGAGCAGATGGGCAGCTGTGGAAACCCCCAGATGTGGGGCGCCAGCCTCAGGCTCCCCAGCCGCTGTCGGGCCCGGCTCTGTGCATTCTTTGTTTCTAATTTTATTTCTGCTGTCTCTCTCCTTTCCTTTCCCCCTTGTTTTCCAGAGGTTCATTTACTGTATTGTTGGTTTATTTTCTCAAAGAACTGTCTCTAGGATTCGTGTATCCATTCTGTGATTCTGTTCTCTCCTTTTTTTTTAAGATTTGTTTTGTAGTTGCCTTTGAATTTCAGTGAATATTGTGTTTATTTGTTTTTCCTCTCTTAGCCTGCCCAGCTCTTTAAAAAATAACGAACAGGCATCAGAAGAAACACATATTTTCCTCCACGTTTTGATGTCATGTTTTAGCACCGGTTGCTTGTTCGAGCTCTGTCTGCAGTTTTCTTTTTATTTTCTTTTCTAACATGCTTTGTTGAGGTATGTTTTTTAATGGCTGGTGTTCATTTTCTGTTTACATTTTTATTAGTGATGTTAAATGACAGTGCTCGTGCCCTATAATCAGAAAATATGGCCCATGCACTTTTTTTTTTTAAAGATTTATTTATTTATTCATATGGAACTGGGGTATAGGCCAGAAATGTGAAGGGTAAGAGGATTCACCAGAGACAGAGCGGGGAGCAGAACAGGCAGATCTACGAAGTACACTGCTGAGGGGAGCAGCGGGCGGGTCAGGAGAGGTCTGCCGCGCCCTGTGGTCACCTCCGGGGCAGGCGGGGATCAAAATCATGCGGAAGTGGCTTTGGCTTCTCAGTGCTGTGCTTTAACCTGCTGCGCCACTAGGGAGGGCCGGCCTATGCACTTTTTAAAATATTTTTAAGATTTTTAATATATCCATGACATCAACCTTCATTTTTGTACAATGTATGATTTCTTTCTTTTTACCCCCAATTTACATAAGTATGCCCTTACTGTTTCTAACTGGTCTGTGAATTTGTCAATAAAAAGATTCGTTTGAATATTTGTGGTGTACACTTTTTAGTGTTTATTAAGTCTACCTTACTATAAAGTCCAAATCTCATATGCCTTCATATTTCCCTTTTATGTTTGTTATGACCTAAATCTATATACTTAATAATGGCATTTTGATCTTACTACAAAAAAAAAAAAAAAGATAACTAGGACTTTGGAATCATACTACCTGGGTTAAAATTCCTGCTCTTCCCTCCTAAGCTGTGCAGACTCGGGCAAGTGATTTTGCCTCTCTGAGTCTCTTTTTCCCCTTTGGAGATAGTAGTGATAGTTATGTCCCAGGACTGCTATGGTATTAAATTACTCAGGATAAGCAAAGTGCCAAGTGTCTGGCAAATAGTGAGTATTCATTGTTAGCCATCATTTCTGGTAGGATCATTAGCAAACAAATGTAAACAAGCAATAGAATTATACAGAATCTCTTTGCCCAGAGATAATCACTATTGACATCATGTAGTTTTTTTTCCTCCTTGTGTGTGAAAAAAAAAATTAAATCTTATTATATAAACTGTTTGCAGGTTGTGTTTTTCATCTAATCGCGCATTATGAACCTTTCCCCTAGCACTCAATCAGCTTAGGCAACATCATTTTTAATCATTTCATGTGGTCAGTAATTCCATAGGTCAGTAGTGCCATGATCTGCCTCATCTTATATGGGATCATATTCTTATTATAAAATGTGCAGTGCTTACCTACATAAATAGTCCTATAGCAAACACACTTGTCACGAAACCTTTATGTATAGTTTTAATTATTTCCTGGTTTTCTAAGCCTGGAATGGATGGCTTTGAATATATTGGCATGATTATTAAAGTGCTTGCCAAAATGTTCTGCAGCTTTTTTCAATAAATTTATACTCTATCAGTGTTGTACGAGACTTTTTATTTAAGCCACCCTGTGAATACCTGGCATTATAAATTTCATAGATATAACACAACCATTATACATAGTTTGTTAACTAGTTATACATAGTTACATATTACATATAATATATATTCACATACTTATTTGTTGCTAATTATATAGAACATTATCGTTTGATATTGTCACTTGTGTATTTATGAGTAACTGTCTTATATAATTCCCTGTCATTTTCTTATTGATTTACAGAACCTTTTATATAAGAAGGATTGTCTTTGCTGACATGTTAACAGTATCTCCTCTTTTCATGTCTTATGTTAATTTTGACAATATGCTATTTTCCTCGTGGTGTATAAGGCATTCAGCTCAACTCTAATCAATTTACCAGACATCAAGCCTGCTTGCCTTCCAATTCACTGGCTATTAGCTGAATTATCCATTCTAGTGCTCATTGTCTCTGATGGACTTTTGAATTCAGTAATTATAACTTTTTTCTGAAAGTAATCTTTCCTAGTCTCAGATTGTTTCCTTTTCATAAATGAATTCACCACTTGAATCTCATCAAAAATACGACTTAGATGTTTTCTAAAATTTTCTTTCTTTGGCAATGTTCAGTTTCACGTGAGGGCCTTACCTGATTCCTCATTGCTTCTCTTTATTTGATGAGTGCTTTGTGTCCTGTTATTTTCTTTATTTGTCCAGCTCTCCAGGAGGGTGAGCATAGAAATGACGAGTGTGCTTGCTCTGATATTTCCGCTCCAGAAGAAGAGAGGAAGGATCCTTTTGGGGTTTTTTGAATTTTACTTTGTCAGATGAGGGGTCCTGTTCCCGCTAGATATTTGGGAGTGGGATTCGGTAGCAGACAGCCTTGTAACAGGCCATTCTACCATTCCACGAGGGGCTTTGTGCACCTCAAAAGGAGCTCCTGTTCCTCTTTTCTTTTTTAAAGATTTATTTATTTATGCATACAAGGACTGGGGTACAGGCCAGAGGTGTGGGGAGTGAGAGGATTCACCAGACAGAGTTCGGTGCAGAACAGGCAGACGTACTGGAACACACTGCTGAGGGGAGCAGCGGGCGGGTCCGGAGAGGTCAGCTGCGCCATGTGTGTCAGCTCCCTGGCCGGGGATCGAACTCATGCTGCAGTGGCTGCAGACAGCTTCATAGTGCTGCCCTTTAACCCATTGCGCCATCAGGGAGGCCCCCTGTTCCTTTTTTCTATCAGGCACAAATGCCCTTATGTTGAGGCAGCATGACGGTAGTCTGGCCACAGCAAGCAGCGTTAGGTATAGTGATCCAGGAGCCAGCATGGGCATCGTGATCCAGGGGCCAGCGTGGGCATCGTGATCCAGGGGCCAGCATCCCACACTTCCTTCATTGGTGACCCCACACCATCCTAATGGCCTGACCCCTTGTGGCTAGTGGGGTTCAGTTGGGCTCCCCATGGATTGGTCACAGGGTCCACATGCCCACTTATACATTATACCAAGTGTGAAACCCCATCTGCCTTTAGACAGTACATGCTCGAGGCATCAGTAATATTCAGTTGTGCTCCGACAAAGCTATTCTTTGTCAGTGCTTTACCTCTTCATGTGACTAATAAAGCCCTACAGGGGGCTGGCATAGGCTTAACATACTGTGACCTCACGCTTGCAGGTGTTAGCAAGGAGGGCCCGCATTGGGGAGAGCCCTTGGTAAACAACTCCCTGGACTTGGACTTGGGTGATAGTGAATTGCAACTATTATTTTGCTGTTACTTTCTGCTTGTAGCCAGTGATACTGGCTTTCTTTCCAAGAAAGAGATAAAGTGTACTATTAAATTTATCACAAGAAATAACAAGTTAGTGGCAAATCATTAAGTTGATGATAATATCCAGCAGGACCCACAAAGGTGAATAAAGTTTGCCAAACATTGCTCCATGTTTTCTTAATTTCACTTTAATTTGACAAGATTCCTGCAAATCTCTGCCATGTGGCTAACACACTTCTTGATTTCCAGCAAGTATACAGCTGTTGTCTTATTTTTGTATTTGTCTTGGTAATATCAATGGAAATTTGAAAGGAGAGATTTGTATATTAAATGTGGAGATGGAGAGGCTCCAACTGTCATCTGTGGTTTGAATCACCTTTCCTCCTATTTTTAGAAGGTGCCTGAGAAGATTAATGGATGGAGACAATTAAACATTGGGTCAGGAAGTCTCTTGAAAGTGAGGAGTTGGATGATCTTTTCCCCCCTCCCACCACTCGAATTCTTCTGGAATTTCCCTTTTCCTTCCTCATTCCCATCTCATCATTTGACTAGGTAGAAACTTCTTTGTGGTCAGGAAACCAAGGAGATCACCCTGTTTATTATGTTATGGGTAATGCCAGGAACAGCAAAGATGCTGCCTTTTCTTGAACACTTGCTAAAAGCCAGGGGGCTCACCATTCTACATTCATTATCATCTCAGCTACACAGTGATCCTATGGATGAAAAGCAAATTTTGCTCCAATTTATAGATGAGATGAATCAAGCCTCAGAGAGCCTTCCAAACTTATCCAATTATTCCAGGAGGCGATCACAGAGAAGCGATTTGGACCTGGCAGGCTTTGGCTCCAGGCTGTGTATTTAACCTCTGAGGGGTTCCATTCCTCACTCTGGGGAGGTTGCTGCAGAGAAAACATCTTGGAGTTAAGTCCACAGTCACCTGGATGCTGCTAAGTGTCAAGGTGCCTTCATGTATAAGGGCAAGTGGTGGACATACTGGGGTGTGTGATGGGACACATCAACAGTGGGAGACCTTCACCCCACCTTTCAGAATAAAAAAATGCTTGGCAGACAAAAACAGATAAAAATCATATCACACTGAATTTATACTTAAGAAAATGGTGTTTGGGCCTTCCCTGGCGGTACAGCCGGTTAAAGCGCAGCTCTGCAAGCCGGCTGCAGCCGCTTCAGTGCAAGTTCGATCCCTCGCCCCAGAGGTGACCCCCACGGCACGGCAGACGTCTCCTGACCCACCCGCTGCTCCCCTCAGCAGTGCACTTTGTAGATCTGCCTGTTCTCCTCCCCACTCTGTCTCTGGTGAGTCCTCTCACCACCCCTGCATGTCTGCCCTGTACCCCAGTTATGTATACATAAGTAAATAAATCTTAAAAAGAGAGAGAGAGAGTGGGCCCTCCCTGGTGG